ATAGTTTATAGTCATATCGTTGGCTCAAGCTTGAGTATGCTTGAGCCAACAATAGTAGAATACAACAGTTGATTCGGGACTCGTGTTGGAATGTTTGGAATACAATATTCTTATACGAGCAGTTATAGGAGAGGCCGAAAGAGGAACTTCATCGAAAGAGACAATCCTTGTGTGTTTGAAGTCCTCTCGCTATGGTCAGCCGAGACATGCCCATTTTGCTATAGTGAGAATAAGCGACCGTACCAGACCTGCATAACCGTTTTGTGATATAATGACGAAAAGAGCAGTCCCAATGGGAAGTACATACTGCGAGAAAGTAGCCGACGTCGGTGAGAGCAATAACGGCGTTATGGTACGGCAACAGTTGACTTCGCTGGGTTACGGTATCGATAAAATGAAGAACGTGGTTAACAGGTGACACATGTCTGTATACATTTATTTATAATCATAGTATCGCTACGGACTTGGAAGTCTAGGGATGCGGGAAAACTGTGGCATGCATCCGACCAGCGGAGTTTCATTGTCAAAAACCAACAGAGTGCCCACGCAGGAGCAATTCCTTGGGAAAAGTCTCAGCCATGATCAGTTTGATGCATCGTACATGATGTTGAACTCATATTAGTATTCCTAACATGAAATTTTGAAGACCGGGACAACCGAATCTGTTCATAGGTCAACCCAGAGGACTGTATGGGTGTGGCGACAGCTCCGACCAGATGCTCTCGCAGCTGCTGGCGGTCACCTGGCCAGAGGAGAAGGCACTGTATACGTTAACAAGCTTCAGAAAATGCCCGAGTTCGGGAATAAATGCTCTTTGGTCTCGGCGGTCCGAAAGGGCCTTAAAGAATTACGATCTGTGGAGAAGCAATGCAAGTGGTTACCCGAGACTTACATTCTGTTGAAGGTGACGATCGTCAAGCATTAGTGGAGAGAATGGGAGTTCAGGAAACTAGAGCGGCTATTGCAGCCGTGAAGGAATCAGGAGAAGAATCTTGCTGGATCGTGAAGCCGGCGTCGTTGAATAGGGGCATGGGAATAAAAGTATGATCATCATCATACTATCTCGACAATTACCACTGGTGTGAAGTACGATACAATTGATTCACCTCAGACTCACCATGTGGAATAAGAAATTCTATAGTTGCTCTGTTACTCGATATAGTGGCTATATAATATGACGCACTACGTCCTTGCCTGTGCAAATACTCAACAATTCAGATTCTCGACCGGAAAACCGCCTTAGAGTACTTAAAGGGCCTCGAAGAGGGACGGCCATCTAAGGCTGTCATTCAACGATACATTAGTGATCCTCTTCTTTTGGACGGTGTAAATGTGACCTCAGAATGTTCCTCTTGATAACGCG